TGCATCCTATTCCACCATCCCATATGAAAGAGCTTACTCCCAATGATCTAGATGCCAAGGATAATAGATGTCTAGCTCCCTGACCTAACTCACATGATTAACTCACCTGGGCTACAAGAGAAGCACCAACACACCTCCCAACAATCTGGATGCCAAGGATAATGGATGCTTGGCTCCCTAACTTAACTCACTTGATTGACTCACTTGGGGTGCAAAAGAGGCATTGACACACCTAATTACGTGTGGTGCTGGCTGTGTGGTATAGCAATGGGTGCCACCAAATGCCAAGTCAAGGAAGAGACATGATGAACCCTAACCTATATATGGATTTGAACTCCAAGTGCTTTTGAGACTTTGAAAAAAAAAACTGAGCCAAATTCATCCATATGGAGATGATGTGGAAAATAACATGATGACATGGAGAAAGATTTAAAACTGCATATTATAAAAAAATGAAAATAATGTGATGCTAAAAAGATTCTCAAGGATTCTCTTAAAAAGGAATTTATATAAGTATATTTCAGTTTTTGCAAGTTCTCCCATGTTCTGTATGCTTGCCTTTGTACCTGTGTTCTTGGGGTTTCTCATCACCCACTACTCGCTGTGTTCAACTAACGATAAGTGATCCAAAAAATAATAATTTAATGTGATTCAAAAATAATAAATATTTATATATTATAAAAATATACAGAAATATTTCCACATATTTCTGTATGTGGAAATATAGGGATCACTTATTGTATGTTCTGTATATTTCCACATACAGAACAATGTGAAAAATCACCATGTTATTTTCCAGATCATCTCCACATGGATGAGTTTGGCTCAGTTTTTTTTTCAAAGTCCCAAAAGCACTTGGAGTTCAAATCCATATATAGGTTAGGGTTCATCATGTCTCTTCCTCAACTTGGCATTTGGTAGCACCCATTGCTATACCACACAGCCAACACCACACGCAATTAGGTGTATCAGTGCCTCTTCTGCACCCCAAGGATCACTTATCATTAGTTGATATGTGGTTTAAACCCTAAACCGGTGAGAACTTGCAAAAACTGGAATATACTTATATAAATTCCTTTTAAAGAGAATCCTTGAGAATCTTTTTAGCATCACATTATTTTCATATTTTTATATTATGTGGTTTTAAATCTTTAAAGTTAAGTAGTTTGAGGTGATTTATCAATAACAATTAATATGAAAATAATACAATTTTCACAAGAAAGAGAGGATCAAATGATAAAGTGTGTGTACAACATAAGATGAAAACCTTAAATCACAATTTTCTCGACAAGAATTAAGAAGGAAGAACACTCCAAAAATAATTAATAACAACTAATATTTTGGAGGATCAATTTAAATACACTGTGGAGTGATGCCCACCAAACACGAGAAATTATATTGCTCACAGTCAAAAGTATCACCAAATTTAAAGAATAACTTGGCAAAACTTATAAAAACAATATGCAATTTCTTATTCCTAATTCTTTTTTATGGTGGTGGTAGTAGTCATCCTTTTATCAATCATTAACTCAAGTTCTTCAAGAGTTTAACAATAATGTTGTAATTATTGTAATTATTATAATTAATTGTAATTGTAATTATTGTAATTATGTTGTAAGTAAGCAAGTTAATTCTCTTAATTGCATGTTACTCAACAGTTTCTATAGCATCACATAAAAAAATTAGAACTAATAAGCATTCTTGCATTCTTGAGTGTGGCTTCATGAGCATTAACTCTAAACTTTATATTTATCAACATTATCAATAAAAGGTTCCTTCAGAGATAGAAAAAGGAAGATCAAAATAAAAATTAAAAAGATGAACAATGATTGAAAATTATTGGCAAAATGTTAGTATAAGTAATATTGACAATACCAAATATACACTCAAAATCCATAGCAATCTAGATTTTAGTCCATAACTAGTGCCATCAAAAATAAAAAAGTGATTGAAAACTATGATGTAAGCTTAAAACATGAATAATTAAGAGAGATATCATGTCAATAAAACAAACAAACCATAATGAAACTCTTGGAGAAAGAAATTAATATTCCATAGATAGGAGCAAAATCTTCAAACAATCTTCTGGAATAAAAAACCATAAATAAAAAAACAAATAGGCAAGTTTGAACGAAAATTATTTAACTTTTAGTTTTTTAAATGACTCTTATTTTAATTTTGAATAATTATTTACCTGATCTCTAAAATATTAAATGCAGCAGAAATTGAGAAACATTTTAGAATCAGTAATTATTAATTCAAGTAAACTCAATAAATCAATGTAGTAAGCTTAATTATTCATAAAATTAAATTCAGAATTTTCGTTATTTTAAAAAATTAGATCAATAGAATTTTAAAAAATTAATATATGAAAAAGCCTATAATCGATAATAAACTTGAGCCAAAACAACTCGAAATCAGTAAACAATTTAAAATTTAATTTCTATATCAAAAAATCTTATACATCATATAAAAAAAATTGAAAAAAAAAATTTAAGACTCATAAAAAAATTGAGAAACGATAATATAAAGAAGATTGATAACAGATCATTTAAGAATAAAATATAGTGAAGTGACTCAAACAAGGATAGGAACTATAAAAATCCATAGTGAACTTATAATTAAAAGAAATAACAAAAACTTATATAAATAAATATACTGTAAGTTTAAAAGTTTATAAGTATAAATAACAAACAACAATCCTGTTAAAATTATTATTATTTTATTTTAAAAAATATTTAGACATTAAAATTGATTGAAAAAAGCTATAAATATAAATAAAAATCCTTCTTTTTCTTTAAGTGAATGATAAATATTTTTTATATCATGCTCAAGACATAGCCATGGTCACATTATTATCAAAATTTAACTCCAAAGTGTTCAATTTTATAACATAAAATAGTTATTATAAGCAGTGACAAATAAAGGTTCAAAAGTTTTAACCAAATTAAGAATTAAATTTTAAGTGGAGTCTAAGGTCAAATATAGCTTTGCCAAAAACTTCGACAAAACTTTACAATATTCTAATATAAAAATTCAAAAAAATTATCTTGAAAATTTTTATACAACATAAAAATTATCCAAAAAATCTTGATAAAGCTTGTCAATTTCAGTATGAAAAGTTTAATAAAAATTACTTAACAACTTTTGGTTTGCTTAAGCAAACTTGTGGAGTGGTAGTGACTATACCTAGAATATTCTTGGATATTCTAGGATATTCTACCATCTAATGGTTGTTATTCAATTAGATTAATTTTGTATATATAATTTATAAACATGTTTATATTCCTAAACACTTTTTAGAAAATTTTACCATCTAATGGTTGATATTAAACATGTTTATAATTTTAATTAATTAAATTATTAAATAAGAATAACACTAGTTGCTGCATGTAATGCATAACAAATTTTTGACAATTTATATGTGAAAATTCTAATATGAAAAACTGAACAAAAATATACAAATCTGGATAATTCCAATATGAAAAATTTGATAATTAGTAGATCTAACCTCATATAGTACATCATTCTCTTAGGAATTTATCTTGGTGTGTTCTGGTTGGTCCAAGAATGTAGTAATTTTAAAAAAATACTAAGTGACCTCAACATTGTAAATTTGGAGTTCTAAAGTGGTAATGAAAATTCTAAGCCAAAGCTGCAATGCCATGAATGGAGATCACATCCTTGCACACTAGACTTTCAAATGCAGAGAAGCTCAGAAAGCATGAAATTTTAAAAGTATCTCTACCCTCGTCATTGGCCTTGGGGTCCTGGTACTGCTGGTACTTGAACACCAGATTGTCCACGTTGCTCTCGGCCTGGGTAAACTCCATCTCGTCCTAGTGGAAGAACGACTTCCTCTGGAACATCACTGTGAATTGCTCGCTCGCTCACTTGAACATCTGTTGAACATCTGCATTTCCGAATGAAAGTCGTCGACATCTTCCCTTGGGAGGGATGTTGCACACGCTCGACTTGCCGTTGTTTGGGATCCACTCGACGAGGACGAGTACTTGTTGTGGACGTTGAGCATCTGTTCGTCCACTACTTTGGTGCCCATGCGTCCCCGGAACATCGCTGAGGCCGTGAGGTAGCGCCTGTCGGCCGCGCACATCATGTTCTTGGCGTCCCACATCTGCTGGGTGATCTCCGGGACGCTCAGAGCTCGGTACTGCTGTGACCTACTGAATCCATGATGGAGTGGAGCCGTGAAAATGGGATGAAGTTGACGGCTAGCTTCCGAAGCTCAACAATCTCATCTCGGCTACCATGAGGGGCGTGACTAGCTGCTTGTAATTCCCGGCCAACTCAACAAGCCAGGCACTCTTGTCTTATCTGGAGATGAGGAGCGTTCCCATGCCCGATCCTGTGCCTCCTATGGAATGACACACTTGAAATCCTGACAACTAGATTGTGAAAAATAGAACCCAGGTGGAAGAACAAAGAAACCAAAATGGAAAATCTTTGATCCAAACCAAACACCTGCGATAAAATGTATTGCGCTTGGAGTACATCGAATATCTGGGATGGTTAGATGCGCTTAAGAATCATCAGTCAAGGGCGACCTTTTTTTGGGGGCCTGTCAATCGCGATGAATCCAATCTTCGCAGGCTCGGCTACTAGATGTTCATCCGTTTGGAGTGGTGCTCTTTAGCTGGACGAGCTCCCATAGATTTCACGCTTCCATAAACAGAGCAAAGCTTGGTATATTGGCCCGTATGGATCTTTCAGATGTCTGAAACAAGCACATTTTTGTGGATCCAAATGATTCTCAATGCCCATGAAGGTGAGGAGAATGATGTACACAGTGTGCCAAACTTAGAAATCGCCATCAATGGCATTTTCTTATGCAAGTTTCTTAACCTTCTTAGGTGGTAAATTTGCTGGATGCTAAGATGGATTGCGGAGAACCGTTACTCTCAAGATATCAAATTTTGATTTCAGGTCGGATGAGTTCATATGAAATTGAATAGATAATCAGATTAGTGATAGTAAAAGTTTTGAGATCAAAGTAGGGCTTATAGAAAGAAGCATGCTGAAGCTTATTACTTTCCTCTCCCAAGGGGATGCTCGAGTTGGAGTGGTCCGTGGAGGAAGAATGTGGTGAGTTTAATCTCCCTCATAGCTAACAGATCTTTGAGTTTTCCATGATTTTGTTTTGGGGTTCCAGGCCCCTTGATGATGTTCTATCGGCCAATGCCTCGAAGCACGACATGGTTGCCGTGATCAGAGACTGGGATGCGATACGAAAGAGGTAAACCTCGAGACCAATCTTGCTAGAAACACGAGAAACTCATGAGCTTCTTTTCTTTGTTACATCTCAAGCTTGAAGCTTGAAAGTCCGGGACTTGAGCTTACGGATATCGAGCTACAAGCTCCAATTCCAAGGCCATCAGGGGCGATTATGTGCATTGGAAAGAATTACAGGGACCATGTCAAAGAAATGGATAAATGGAAGACTGCTCCAGCTTTGTCTGCTCAAGATGTTCCCAAGGTAAGAATATTTTTCTTTCTCTCATCGCTAAAAGTTTCCACAGAATCCTATCGTTTTTACCAAAGCACCACAATCTGTGATTGGTCCCGGGGCTGCAATCAAATATCCTCACGGTTTATCTTCGCAAGTCGACTATGAAGCAGGTCTTACAAATCGAAAGTTTCACGAGTTTTTCTTTGTGATCTTAGTAGAAAAAAAAAAATTTATTGTTTTTTGTGGTGCTCAGAATTGGCTGTGATAATTGGAAAACCGGGAAGAGCCATCAAAAGAGAGAACGCTCTAGAACACGTATTCGGGTAAGCAGTGTGGTGCTTTCTCTCTGCTTTAAGATTTTAATCCTTGATATTATCTGATATCCTTGCGCAGATATACGATCTTAAACGATGTCACTGCAAGAGATTTGCAAAAACGCCACCAACAGGTATAGTTTCTATCTTTCCTCGTATCAAGAGCTTTTCTTTGTTTGCAGTGGTTTATAGGCAAGAGTTGCGATACATTTTGTCCCATGGGTCCATGGATTGTTCCAGCAACGGAGATAAACGGAGAGGATCTTCGGATCCAATGCTGGATCAATGACGAACTCCGACAGGTGATTCTACTCCATATCCTTTCTATCAAACTCGAGAAAATCCCCCTTTTCGAGTCTAAAACTCTATGAATTACCCTGAGTAGGATGGTCGAACGTCAGACATGATCTTTCCAATCCCAGAGCTGATCGAGACGATATCAGCGGGAATAACTTTGCAAACGGGAGATATCATCGCAACTGGAACTCCCTCAGGTAGAAAATTTCTCCTCCATTTTCTTTAGAAGCTGCTAAGAGAAATCACAATCTAGGTGTTGGATCGGGGTTTGATCCACCCAAACATCTACTTCCTGGCGATAAAATCCGCATCGCGATCGAGAACATTGGCGAATTACTCAATACTGTGGAGTAAGATTAATCCATTACCGTCCATTACCCAGTTTCATCCAACGGCCCAGTTTGTACCCAGGAGAATATCCCGTAACCGCGAGAAATGTAGGGGTTAAAAACTTTTTGGCGCGACTTTCCAGGGTTAGGGCAAGCTTGGCGGGCGAGGAGACGATGCGGTCCAATCCGAGGTATGTGAGCAGCTGGAGCTGGCGCCGCGCCTAAGAATCAGCTGCTAGATCCGCGAGTGGAGTCAGTTAGTTGCCGCGCGATCATTCATCTCAGGGTCCTTTTCTTGAGGGTCTGTCAATCGCATCAATCGCGATGAATCCAATCTTTCTCTCCCAAAAGGCCGGGCGAGCAGGCTCGGCTGTGAATTATGGTCTAGCGGATCGTGTTATGCCTGATCCACCTCCTCATGTACTTATTTCTAGCTTTCATTTTTTTTTTCTTCCTAGTGCAAGTACAAGTAGTGATCTAAGCTCCTCGTTTTTTTTTTCTTGTACAGATCAAGGCGATTCATGATCTTGTCAATATCGAGTCCACTGCCGATCCGCTCGGGAAAAGACCCGCCAAATGGAACAAGAGCACGGCTTCTGAGGTTTTCAAGATATTTGGACGTGATTCCTCTCATCGTCGAGTGGCCAACATTTGCACGCTGGAGAAGCATTTCAATGACCCCGATTTGAAGAAGCTCCAGTGCTGGTACTTTCCAAGGCCTGCCAGTGCAAAGAACCCCGAGAAGCCTGCAAAGTTTTTCAAGGTATGACAAGGAGAAGGTGATCACTTTTGATTTCATCTCTTTCTTATTCTTGCTGCAGGCTATGAAGCCCAGTGAGCTGCTAGCGAGAGAAGATATGTGGGGAGCTTGGAACGTGAGTGTCGAGCTTGAAACGGCAAAGACGAGGAGAGACAACTTGAGGAGAAGGTATGCAAGGCCCCGTTGTGTTCTCGATATTTCTTCAGCGCGGATGGTTTACTTGTACTTGTGAATTTTTCTCAGCACCCGAGACGACTTGCAAAACTCTGAGAACTACTTTGAGAAAAATGTGGAGACCGTTACTGCATTGCGCGAGCTGCAAAGACGAGGAGGTCCAAAGCCTTGCAAGAGTGACGCGAAAATAGAGTGAGTATCAAAGTTATATTGTTTCCTCTGTTTCTACCTTTGTCTCTCTCTTTGTTTGTCTCCAGCCTTTTAAAACGACGAAAAGGAGATATCGACTCTGTTCACAACTTGGTCTAAGCAAGCAATCGAGGCTCTCCCGAATTTGCCTCGGGAATAGGCAACTTAAAGCGTGCCAACACATCAGATTAGCTCGGCCTGTAAATGATGCTCGTATTGACACCAAGAAAGGCATGGCGTGCTTTGACGAGATATCCAGATGCGAACAAGGTATGTGTTTCAAAAACTAACAGGACTGAGTCCAGAAAATGCAGCGCTTTGGCTTTGGAGCACGTTTATATCTTTGCTCTGACCAGGATTCTTAGGTATGTCTCTAGCTTGCCGAATTTCCAGATTATAGGCTTGGGTTTCTTCCTTGCGTCTTCCTTTACTTTCTCACGAGAGACTGCTTCTTTGACATGGATGATTCACGTCGGTAAATGCTTTGATTATTTTTGTCTGTTTTCTTTTTGTTTTACATATTTGTCGTTCTTGATCTGTTTGTAGAATCTTCCCTTGTCTTTGAATAATCTTTCTACGTTCTTCGTTTCAGAGCAACGATTCTAGAAGAGCTGAAGACGTGAGTGAAGAGAACCTCGCAAGAAAACGTTTCCACCTTGTCCTTGCAGAGTCTCTTCGGCATCTGATAAGGATCTAAAATTCTCGAAATTTATTAGATAAGCTGCCAGCCGCAAGGTAAATCTTTAAACTCTAGCATGATTGTGTTTCCAATCGCATCGCTTCGAGAAGTCCGTTACAACTTTTATTCTTTAAAATGTTTTGACGATTTTCACACCAGTGAAGGAATAGTTCATGGAGCTTAGTCTTTGGCTTGCCGAAAGTCCAAGCAAAAGAAATGGAGAGCTCTTGTTCTTGGCTTACAGCCCCGTATGGATCACTATTCTCCTGGGAGTAATTGTGCCGTTTAAGTTCTACGAGGTCCGTCACTCCACTTCGTTGCCATGACGTTCTTTCATTTGATTAATCTTTGTAATTACTTGTGAGCAGGAATTCCAAGAGCTCGAGTACTTCGCGGTTGCATTGATGCTGTCATCACCATGCATTGTTCTGCCATTCTTCCTCAAAAGTAGGCTGGTCTTAACTTGATCTATATTTTTCTATTCCTCGCCTGCTGAGTACTGGTTTCCTTCTTTCTCAGAAGTTTGGAGAGGCAGCGTGGAGATAACTGCATGAAGGTTTTTATTTACTTGTTTGAAGAATATTTCTCTAAACCAAATTGATTGCAGGCAAACCTGTGGATTGGAATCTTTGGCTTCGCGGGAAACTACTTCTTGACTCATTACTTTTATACAATCCTTGGAGCAAACTATACATTTCCGTCATGGAGACTTAACAACGTAAGTTAGAGTTTTCACTCTATTTCTTACATATATAGGAGCTTTGCTACAGGTCCCCTTGCACGCAGCCTTACTTTTTACTCTACCACGTCTTTTCGAGCATGACTTTGAGAAGGCTAAAGGCAGCTCAGGCCAAAACCTCAAGCGTAGCTTTCTCCAGGCTCGTCCAATTCGTTTCGACAGCGATACTGGCTTATTTGACAGCTCTCATCGAGGCATTGACAATCTCAAACGTAAGCACTCCGAGTTTTCGAGCTCTTCTTCATTCATTCGGATTTCCTTTCCAGTTCCCACATATTTCCGGCATTCTACAAAGTTGGCTCCTTGCTCTACGCCCTCTACTTCATCGTCAGCTATCCAATGTTCATGAGGTACGATAATTTTCCAGCAAAACATCTAACAGCGTCCCCTTTATCAAGGATTGACGAAGACCCAAGCGATGAATGGTCTTTCTTGAGAACCACCGGAAATGCATTAGCAGCGTCAATGCTGGTTACCATTTTGCTAGATTTCTGGCGTCTAACCATCGGCCCAGTCGTCGATCAGCATCACCATTCTTGGTTTCAACAAGAACGTAAACTTGCTCGAATTTTTCTCTGGAAAAGGTATAAGAGCCATCCTTTTCACATTCTATAAATCAACGCAAACTCGTTAGGGTTCTTATTACAAAGATGGGCGTTTTCGTGCTGGACGGGTCGATTGTCATGAGCTTCGTGAAGAACACTGGTCTGTTCCACGAGACCATGCTCAAACACTTCGATCAAATGGATGTAAATCACAGGGGCCTTCTCACACTCGCAGAGTTCCAGCCCTTTGTGGAGAGCTTAAATCTTGACATGGAGCTCGACTTTGGGGTCCCAGTGCCAATGACCCAAGCCGAGTTGACGCTCAAGTGTAGCTCCATGTTTGATCTGTTTGACACGAATCACGATGGATTCATCGACGCGGGCGAATTCGAGTCGCAGCTACGAGAGATCTTCGAGGGAATTGCGCTGGGGCTGGGTCAAACTTCGGTGCACTTAATTGTCAACGACAGCAGCATACTCAAGGACGTGGCCGCGTGGACCACCGGCTGCCAGCTTTAGGGCTCTTGGAGATCGGCTCTAAGCCGTTGGATGCTCTCGATCTGGGCCGTTGGCATAAAGTCAACGTGTCCGCGCACTTTTGTTTAGAGATATACTTTTTTACAAAAGAAGAAAAGAAATTTTTGTGTTTTTTTTTTCGTTTTAATATGCTATGCAATCCGACCACTCTGGTGACGAGTGATCGCTCGGGAAGAGCTGACAACCATTCAACTCGAGACTATCCAACACGGACGATCCAAACTCTAGCATCGACTCCAGGGTCATGCCACCACAAACATCGATCTCGCCCTCCACTTTCACCACGCTCGACGAAGCATCATCCAGCTCTTGCGTGATCAGCTGGCCCCGAGTAGCCTCGAGATCCCTCTGCCCAATTCCATGGCTTGGAGCTGAAGCGCCTGTGTTCCTCGGTGGTGGTGGTGTGTGATTTGGAGAGACATCGAGAGGGAGAGAAGGGATCACGGTCGGACCTGAGGCCCCGATCTGCAAGCCACCATCGCTATTGATCCTCAAGCACACTGAGTTTACCATCGGCATGGCCAGCGCTGGCGATGGTGGCGATGGCGATCCCAGCGGGGACGATCGAAGCATGTTGCAAGTGTGCTCCCCCCGGTAAGTGATCTGGAACGAGGAGGGATTGGAGTCGGATCTCTGGACGTATTTGATCGCCGGGCACCCGCTCTCGCGCTTGTGTGTGCAGCGATAGTAGCTCCTGGATCACGGGGACAATGGGTTTCTTTCTTAGAACTTCCAGGAACTTGTGAACAGTGAAGTTCTTACTTTGGGTGTCGAGATCCGAGGATGTCTTTCTGGCCGTATTTCCTCCACGTATAGCCATCGTCCGGGACGAGCTCGTGCTCGATCGAGTGTGGCTGTTGCTGATGTTGGTTCTTGAGTTTTCTATCAGAGATCACAGATGATCATCACATTGATTGGAAAGTTTCGAGAGAGACCATACCTCTTTTTGGTCGGGGTGTGATCTTCGTCGCTGTGAGAGGTCTCGCTAGTGGTGGTGATGGCAGGCTTGGAGCGATGGCCGCCTGGATCGACGGGAGAAGCATGGGGGTTCCTGCTGAGGCACGCGATGATGTTGGTGAAAGTGGCGATGATACTGGCAGCGTCGTCAACCAGAGTCCTGGCGGCTCCATCGTCCAGGCTTGATGCCGGGACGAGCTTGAGCTTGTCATCCAGCAGCTGGGCTTGGCCCCTTGCCTTGCTTACTTCCATCCTCACTAAACTCTCCGCAAATGGATGCATTCTCCTCGCCTCTCCCTCATCAAATTCCCCAAACACTCTTTGGATCTTTTTGGATCGAGAGAGAGAGAGAGAGAGAGACCAACTGGAGATTGCGAGGTCGCCACTGGGCAGTGATGGATCCCACTTTGAAAATCGCGGAGGAAAAAAAAGAGACTTGGATGCTACGCTTATAGGTTTGACATTTTGTAGGGATGCGGTCAC